TAGTTATAACTTGTGTTGTTAGCTACGTTAGCCCCAGTGTCCCTCTGTAATTAGTTATAACTTGTGTTGTTAGCTACGTTAGCCCCAGTGTCCCTCTGTATCTAGTTATAACTTGTGTTGTTAGCTACGTTAGCCCCACGTTAGCCCCAGTGTCCCTCTGTAATTAGTTATAACTTGTGTTGTTAGCTACGTTAGCCCCAGTGTCCCTCTGTATCTAGATATAACTTGTGTTGTTAGCTACGTTAGCCCCAGTGTCCCTCTGTATCTAGTTATAACTTGTGTTGTTAGCTACGTTAGCCCCAGTGTCCCTCTGTATCTAGTTATAACTTGTGTTGTAAATCCCTCCCCCCCCTCCGTGTTGTGATGCCGTATGTGATATATCTTTCGATTAAATTCAGCGTCAAAGTTTTATACAGGAATCCATTAAAGGCTTAATACGTTCACAAATTTATTCTTTTAATTCGCTTTCATTCCCTTCCACGTTTGAAGATTAATTTATTTGGTAAATACACCTTAACATTCTACATCAGAAATGGTGTTGTCAGCTTCACAGGAAACTCCAGCTCAGTATTCGATAAAAATATCAATGTTCGGACCCCAAGAAAAAAACAATGATCACATGATTCAAATATGTCCGAAATAGACAACAATGCTTGAAAAATATATATGAGGATATTTTGAAAACTATGTTACAGTGTAGGAAAATATGTGAGTATAGAGTCAACGATCTTAAAAGCTGATCATGCTTCTGCGATCTGCACGGATATAGTGATATCAGCGGACTCGGTATCAGAGCACTGATGTTTGTAAAGAATTCGGTGTATCAAAATTCATTAACGATTTATTAAAATCCTATTTAAGCCTATAACACAGCATCATATTTCTATAGTCACTGCTGATTGACAATGGTATTATGGTATAATCTAATCTGAATACATTGCAGATATAAGGTACACAAATTCCGGAAACATGAGATGATGATTTGGAAAATATTGAATCGTATTTTAACTAACAATCGATGAAACTAAAGCGAAATATGAAGAAAAGATAGTTTACGCGGAGATATGTACAGAATCACAAGAAAAATAAGACCACACGTTCCGGTTAGCAAAGCGTCTTCTGCTTCGTTGACGACGCGCGTCGTTTAAATCTTTGTAAACCCAGGTTAGTTATGTCATGTATCACGTTCATGTGAGGTGACGTGTTATTTATACATATATATTACATATCCGGAAATCCTGGAACGTGTCCATTTGGTTTTCTACTTTAGTTGCACTTTATGTATTTCCGTTGGTAGAGTAATTCTCTCGTCGTTGCCTCTAATGATGTATACTTTCTTTATAAAGCCCAGCAAGTTGCACCTATCGTCAGAAACGGGTGTAAATTAAATTGGAATAAGACCGGAAGATACCAATTGCACTATTATAAATGACACGGAAATTGGATCAAATATGCGGAATTATTGAAGTTCAGAACCACAATTATCAAATACGGACGCCTTGACCGTCTACCTGTTGAGTGGACAGGTGTAAACATATAAATAGGACAATATAGAAAAGTTATGATCGAAAGTAAACAAACAATAACTACAAGAAGGATCAACATTACCGGGACTTAGTTCGGAGCCGGTATCTATCACGTCCTAAAGGGTACTTGGCGTTCTTTTGTTCCAAGGCAGTAGCCAATATTAATGACATAGTGGCTATAGAAATGACAGTATCTCCCGAAAGATTTAATTTACTACTCATTATACTCAAAATAAAGTGAAACAGACTATACTTTTATCCCGTATGTTATCATAACCGATTCGAGATAAAACGAAATAGACTGTATATTGCTTTTATGATGACCGTAGATGCTTCCTGTAACGACGTGACGGGAGGTAACTGTAAACAAGTGTTGGACCCGGCCACGTATCGACCTACAGGATCTAATGTTAATAAAACCGTTGTTTATTGACAGTTTAATGTCGTCGCTCCAATATCAACCTGACCAACAATGACAGGTGGGATATTAACATTGATAATCTTGTCCTTGTAGATTTATAACTATAAGGCATGATATTATTTGTGAGGAACAGATAAGAATATTTAACCGAATTTTCTCGAAATTCTTGATCCTGATGGTAAACATATTTCGTTTTGTCCTCAGAGATGAGTCGTTTTCTAAGAGTATATATAGTTAATTTTAATGTCATTTAGTCTTGATGACCCGGATGGAAGCAAGGTCTTATTGATCGAGGAAAGCGGCAAACCCGGGGAAAACCCAAGTAACACCTACATCTTTTTTACGTCCGATCGGACCAATGTGTCTCCCGACCACAATTTGTTTAACGACACAAGTCATTGATCATGTCAGTGTAACAGCTGATAAATTTGAAATTCTCCACAAATGACGAAAACAATCCTGAAAGGAAGAATTGTATGCACCGTATGTTGTTTACGTGGTGGTTTATAAAAGCGGGTTATGGTGTGTACAAATATAGTAATGTTTGACCTTTAAGAACTCTGTTACGTAAACAAGACGTTGTGTGACAAACCCTAGAAACAAAACCCTGATTCATACATAGTTGTATTGATCTTACAAGTCTTATTTGAACAATGCATGCAACGAGTTCAAAAACGGGTCACACAATTACTGTTAATGTTCCTGGTTTGTGTTCAGATTAAACAAAGATCTACTGTCGAGTGATTCGCTGAGATCTTATATACAACGTTAGTAACACAGACCCTTTGTAAGTTTTATAAAAAAACTATTTGTATTTCCAACGCAAGTAATTTGAAATAAGAAACTGTTCATTCCATTAAAACGTTTTGTCAAAATTATAGCAAGGTAAACCCTACTGAGATTCCCTACTATAAACCGATACATGCCTTAATAAATTACTCCGTCCGCCATTTTGGCACACTCTGTCTACACATTTAAATTTCCAGTATATTTAACACAGCTTCAATCATCAAAAGCTAAATGTACATAAGAGAAAAAGTCGAAATGCAAGTAAATTCTGTCAAAAACATGAACATTTTTTCTATACCTAATCAGAAATGTCCCTGAATTGCCTTCTTTTGTTTTGGTTCGTGTTTGATAGACGTGTTTCTGAGCTGACTTTGTCTTTTCGTCAATCAACACACTATTGTAAATTCACCTAACATGTCTACCTAATACGGATTTTACATTTTTTGCCATAAGTCATGTTTTTTTACTGTGTTCACTTTGCCACTTTGTTTCTTTACGATAACACGATGTTTCCGGGTTTGGTACAATAACACGATATTTCCGGGTTTTGTACAATGACACTGTGTTTCCGGGTTTTGTACAATAACACCATGTTTCCGGGTTTGATGCAATAATACGATGTTTCCGGGTTTTGTACAATAACACTGTGTTTCCGGGTTTTGTACAATAACACTGTGTTTCCGGGTTTTGTACAATAACACCGCGTTTCCGTGTTTTCCGGATTGTGTTATCACGGTTTAGATTTTATCTCGATATTCATGGCGAAGGTCGTCGATGAACCAGACGATTCATACCTTACTCTTCGTTAACATTTTTTTTTTAGGATTCTCCGTACATTTTCCTTAATACTGTATGAATATTTCACTCTCGTTCAATTGGTTAAATTTGGAGTTATCTAGGGGTTGGAATTTTCTTGACGATACATTAATGCCTGTTACCCCCGGTTTTTGTGTTAAACTCATTACTTCCGGTTTAGACATACTGTGTTTCCCGGAGTTTTATATGATAACACTGACAATATGAGTTACACCACGTGAGTGAGCAATTATGTAAACGGTAGTTAACATAAAGGACGGATATATGTAGTTATATAAATGTACAGATATAGTTTAAGGTCTGATGAAAACGCGATACACAATATGTATTTACGGGGTCTATATTAACACCAAGAATAAGACCCTTTCATTAAGTGTTGTTACATCTTATTAATGTTTAGTTATAAACCGTTACATACTTCAATGTCCCTTAAATATTTATCCTGGAGATTTGTACTACATTTATAATGTGTGAAACACATTGCCCTAGTTGTACACTGACCAAACAACCACACCACTTATACATATATAACAGCCGACAAACCAGGTATCAATTCTAACCAAGTTGTTGATCTTTTCACAGAATCGGTCAAATGGAACCGCTCTTCCATTGTCCAGTAAAATATGACCTAGATAAATACAGTCATATTTATAATGTGTATACTAGGTCATCTTATGTAAATAGACCAGATAAGATACGATCTTGATACGTTATATGTTTGATCTATGTATTGGAATTATGCATGACTAGTCTGTGTACACAAGGTCTCCTCAGCTCAGATCCGGTCCAAAAGTTAATGACGGCTTCTCAATTTATGGAATTCTCCATTTTGTTTTTAATTTCGGAAAATATTTTTGAATGCATCAATGAATGAAAAGATCAATTTAGTGAAAAATGCGAAATAATCGTAATTGATTTCTCTCCTACAGAACGGTTTCTATTATAAGACTCACACAGTGTTTCACATCTGCGATACAACGAAGCCAGGCAGACCATTTAGAGTTCTCGAGTAAAATCAGCATGACAGTCAATTGTTATAGACCAATGGTTTCCTCCTGTGATGTCTACAATTTTCTGCATTAACTCGACTTGATTGCTTGTCACATATACATGTTATACAAAGAACGCAACCTAGCGGAGAAAAGTTGTACTAAGGCAGACAATCCAATCTACTTCCTGGTTTCATTTCTCGGTTAAAGAAAAAGAATGGGTAACTAGCTTTATGATAATGTCAAAAGCATCATAAGTTTTAAGCAATATCGAGTGAAACATCAGATACAATCAAACCTCGTTATCTCGAAGTCGGTGGGATCGTGGGAAAACTTCGAGTAATCCGATAATTCCATTTAAATAATATAGAATGTTAATTGTAAGGTTTGACCGGTCTTCGAGTTATTCAAGTTCGAGATAACGTGGTTCGACTATACATAGTAAAAATTGAAACTTACCTGGAAGTTCCACGGCGTTTTTGGCGATGTTATGATGAATGGCCTGTTTAACTTCTTTCATCTTTTCTCGGAGTCCCTCTAGCTTTGACTGTGAGGCCAGAGTCTGTTCCTTGAATTCATCTATAGCGCTTGAAACAGAGTTCACCACAGAGATGAGATCTTCAACGGGGTAGGCAGAATCTACGGTTTTAAATTTGTCGTTGTCGAATATTTCTGTGAATTCCAGGATGTTATCATTGAATGATCGGATATTGTATTCATCTGTTGACTTTTCCGCCCATTTCTCGACAGGCTGTTCTTCCTCCGGTTCGGGAGATTTGGTTTCGATTTCGTCCGTTTTCACATCGTTGTTCGCGTCAATTTGTCCATTTGGATAAACCAGTTCTTCTTCCTTTGTTGCCAAAGAATCATTTGTGAGAGATCTCAATTCTAATTCATCGGGAGACTTCGTGACTTGCCGGTCCTGTTCGACATTTTTCGCGGATTTTACCCCTTCTCTTTGTGCTGACGTCACTGACGTTTTGCGATTGCTGACAGAAGAGGATGGTCTCCTTGGTTTACTCGTAGCCTTGGTAGCAGTATGATCGTGTCCATGGCGACCACGATCATGGGTCCCCCGTCTGTGATCCCCAACTGGCATGTTGTGTAGTATTTAAAACTGCAACAGAAATGGAAACAAAATGTTACCTTGTGTGTTGATATTTATAAATGACATCGTTCGTCAGTATACAAAATTAAGGAATCATCCTGGGATCACATCAAAGTTGTGACGTCAATATTACGTCATATTTGTTTAAATTAATTCTCATCAATGTTTATCATAAAAAAATACACGTGGGTTGAGAGAAATGTTTAAAATTGTCTGTTTGCATATTCACGTCCATACCGCAGCAATTAAGAAGGAACCTAGATACATTCGTCAATCATCTCTAATTTGGAATAAACACATATATAAACTACAGACTAGCTGGCGTTGTAGTATGCTAAAGTACTTTTTGACAGGAACATAATTTAAGCGATGTTTTTACATTCTAGTACATGTATCTCTGTTCCCTTGTAAAGTTACCACTTTCCTGAAATGTCATTCCTATAGTTAGATACGCATGTATTTATGTTCAGATACTGATAAATATTGTCGTGTCAGGAGAGTCACAATGTGACTATGTAAACGAGTCAGCGGAGTCACCATGTGACAATTTGAACGCTTCTGTGGAGTCACCATGTGACAATTTAAACGCTTCTGCGGAGTCACCATGTGACAATTTAAACGCTTCTGCGGAGTCACCATGTGACAATTTAAACGCTTCTGCGGAGTCACCATGTGACAATTTAAACGCTTCTGCGGAGTCACCATGTGACAATTTAAACGACTTGATGGTGCATTATTTTATTACTCTACATCAATCTAAAATTCAGTAAGTAGTCTCCAGCTGATCAGACGTTCTAGAAGATCAGTAAACACTCGTGGAGACACACATATTGATATTTACCCTGCACGAGTACACGGTCTGTCAGTCTGAAACAGCACATCCAACACACCGTATTGACAAAACACGATATGTGTCAATATTATATATCCAATGAGGAGTTGTCTAGAAATATGATTTATAGTTCGTGTGATATCCCTAACGTAACCGGGAGTCCCCGCGTGATGAACTGCCCAACAGTAAGATAAACTTATAACAGGTTTATATTTCACGATTACAAATACTGATTTCGGGATTTAACATTGCAACATATATTGTTTCGTCTTTCAACCTTTTGTCTGTGTCGTCTTCTAGGTTTCAACACATTAGGTCCTTAGCATCACTGATGAGACCTAGGAGGACGAAACAGCTGTATGATATAGCATCACTGATATTTACCCTGCACGAGTACACGGTTGTCATGATACAGCACACTGACACACCGTATTGACAAAACACGATATGTGTCAATATATATATCCTGAGGAGTTGTCTAGGAGGATGATTTATAGCTGTGTGATATAGCATCACTGACGAGACCTAGGAGACCCCAGCTGTATGATATAGCATCACTGATGAGACCTAAGGACGAAACAGCTGTATGATATATCATCACTGACTGAGACCTAGGAGGAACATTGCAACATATATAATATAGCATCACTTTTTGACGTGACCTAGAAAGACAACACAGCTGTATGATATAGCATCACTGATGAGACCTAGGAGGACGAAACAGCTGTATGATATAGCATCACTGATGAGACCTAGGAGGACGAAACAGTTGTATGATATATCATCACTGACGAGACCTAGGAGGACGAAACAGCTGTATAATATAGCATCACTGACGAGACCTAGAAAGACGAAACAGCTGTATGATATAGCATCACTGATGAGACCTAGGAGGACGAAACAGCTGTATGATATAGCATCACTGATGAGACCTAGGAGGACGAAACAGTTGTATGATATAGCATCACTGACGAGACCTAGGAGGACGAAACAGCTGTATGATATAGCATCACTGATGAGACCTAGGAGGACGAAACAGCTGTATGATATAGCATCACTGACGAGACCTAGGAGGACGAAACAGCTGTATGATATAGCATCACTGACGAGACCTAGGAGGACGAAACAGTTGTATGATATAGCATCACTGACGAGACCTAGGAGGACGGAACAGTTGTATGATGTAGCAACACTGATGAGACCTATGAGGACGGAACAGTTGTATGGTTCAGTTTATTCATTGATAGCTCTACTGTACTGAAGTCATGAATTGTAAAGAAATGCTGTTCTATGTTTGTTGTTTGTACAATACTGAAACATTACTGACAAGACAATGAGTATAGGACGTATAACTTCAGAGATAAAATATCATATATAGAGAAATCGTCAACACATTCACTGGACGTGACCCGTTATATAGTCTACTCCTCCACTAGACGTGACCCGTTATATCTTTAACACATTCACTAGACGTGACCCGTTATATCGTCAACACATTCACTAGAAGTGACCCGTTATATCGTCAACACATTCACTAGACGTGACCCGTTATATCGTCAACACCTTCACTAGACGTGACCCGTTATATCGTCAACACATTCACTAGAAGTGACCCGTTATATCGTCAACACATTCGCTAGACGTGACCCGTTATATCGTCAACACCTTCACTAGACGTGACCCGTTATATCGTCAACACCTTCCACAGGGGTGACATTTTATACAGCCTACACCTTCCCTAAGAGAGACATTTTAGACGGCCTACACCTTCCCAAAGAGAGACATTTTATACAGCCTACACCTTCCCAAAGAGAGACATTTTAGACGGCCTACACCTTCCCAAAGAGAGACATTTTATACAGCCTACACCTTCCCAAAGAGAGACATATTATACGGCCTACACCTTCCCAAAGAGAGACATTTTATACAGCCTACACCTTCCCAAAGAGAGACATTTTATACAGCCTACACCTTCCCAAAGAGAGACATTTTATACAGCCTACACCTTCCCAAAGAGAGACATTTTAGACGGCCTACACCTTCCCAAAGAGAGACATTTTATACAGCCTACACCTTCCCAAAGAGAGACATTTTATACAGCCTACACCAACCCAAAGAGTCACATTTTATACAGCCTACACCTTCCCAAAGAGAGACATTTTAGACAGCCTACACCTTCCCAAAGAGTGACATTTTATACAGCCTACACCTTCCCAAAGAGTCACATTTTATACAGCCTACACCTTTCCCTGGAGTGACATTTTAGACGGCCTACACCTTCCCAAAGAGAGACATTTTTTACAGCCTACACCTTCCCAAAGAGTCATATTTTAGACGACCTACATCGCCCAAAGTGTGACATTTTAGTCGGCCTACACCTTCCGTTTGAGCGGTATGTAAGTCATGTCGTGACTGAGTTTTAATACTATTGACTTGTACAGCCCCAATGTTGACCATTCTTATCACTTTTATATTAGGCACGCTAGAGTATACCTAAATCCACTCTGTGATTAGAAAACGAATTTACGTATATATGTATATTCAATAGAAAAATCTGCCTTCCGCGTCACGATTAAGATGGATGAGGGTCTCGAGGGGAGGTACACGATCGTGCCTTTCACTGCCAGGTGGCGTGTATTCCAATATCGTAAACAAGTGTTGTCACAGGTAATTAAGTTATATTTCGTTCAGGTAAATGAAACCGTACTACTCATTAGCATTCTGGAATATTAAAGGAATCATTTTAGAAATTTCCTTTCAGAGTCATTATATATTCATGATGTTATGTAGTCGGTTGTATATACCCAGTTAATCAAGTGTTCGGTCCTTTTATTTGTTCATTTTTAATTTTTTAAGCGAATATGCTTACTGTATTAGATAAATCGTTATATAGTTTTATATCATGGAAAGTGTGTTATAACACACATATATAAAAAGAATTTTGCTTCAAGCAATATTACATTTCCTGAAATATATCGAAAGCTGACATTTCTTATCTCGACTGGTCTACCATCTAGTTTTTTTGTTATTTGTGCTTGTTTTTAATTTTTTAGTATATAGTTAAGTGTTTGTTGACTTTTTCCAAGCTCGTGTCATAAAAGAACATTCCCTGGCACATGCACATGATTTGGCCTGGATTGATGTTTGATAATTCAAATCGTTTGACATGAGTTATTTGAAACAACGAACAGAGAACAGGAAGGCAAGATTGTATACTAGTAATACACTACATATGTATATATATATATATAATGTAAAGGGATATAAGTTAAAACATGTGATAGTGAGAATAGTCTGACAATAGACAGGTTACGAAAACGCCATTTTAAGATAATTTCAATTTCCGTTAGATCTTAAAAGGTATTCATACTTATCTTAAAATCTTTCTTACTGACGTAAAGACAGTGTATTAAGAGATCCTTCTCATTCTAAGGAGAATATCTATCTCCAGAATCTTAAAACAAGAAAGGAAATGAAATACCAACATGTCAATAAAATCTTAATCAATTCTCAAATTCAATAAAATTAACGACAGACCACAGATAAATTGGGAAGAAAGTAAGACCAGGTGTTCCGGAAGGGTTAGCACAAGGAAAATAATCTTCAAAGATTAAAAAAAATCCCTTAAAAGTGACAACTTCAAAGTAGTCCTACATGCCAAATCGTTGAATTATTTTCCAAGTCGATGATTTTTCATTCTTTCTGTCACCCTCTCAATATATTTACAACACATGGGAAATATATTCATCATTTAAGGCATTAGGACTGTATAACTTTGTGATTGTGGTGTCACAAACATGATATCTGATAAATTTTGGCTAAAATATCGAAGTCTCCGTTGTAAGAAGGTGATAAATTATCGAATGTTGTAATGTTGAGTTTTCTGTATTAGTAAACACATTACCACTGATCCTGAATGACAGGTTTATGACTGCAAGAAACATGGACCGGATGTATTTTCTATAAATCTATCGCGTTTTAAAGAAAAGTTGTCGTCCTATCTCATTCAGCACTTTTAGGAAAAGTCAAAATAACTTTAAAACATTCATGTTGACGTTTTAAAAATCTCTGCCTTAACACGTCTAATGGAAGAGATTAAAACCCGTTAGATGTATGTGAAACACGATCCAGGTAGGTGTTTTTAATGACAGATTTTTTT